TGTGCACGAAACGTGAGCATTGTGGCCAGCAACGTTACAAACGTTTGATAGCCTGGACAATCCCAGTAATCCAATTTACTGTTATTATTACTATTACTATATTACTATAATTTATTACTATAATATACTAAAAAGTAATAATAAATAAGAGTAATAATAACAGTAACAAGTAATAACAGTAAGTAATAGTAATAGTGATAAACACAATAACACTCTAAAAATGTAATTTGCATGATTAACATTCCACTTTTAATACTATGTAAAATAACAATAATTATGTTGATAACAAACAAATAATAAAAATAAGTAATAGTGTGATAGTCGATTAATAATAATGATAATAATAAGCGTAATAATGTTGCGTCGATAATAACAATAATAATAATAATAATAATAATAATAATAATAATAAATGTACACTTTACTTCAACGAACACAATAAAAAAACCATCAAAACAAGACGGAATTAACACAGAAGTTGGTTTATTTGTCACAATTTCACGTCACCGATTTGTTTTCGAACAAATTTGCAGTGAATTTCTATGAAAAATCACGGAGATATGCGTGATTTTTACGATTCAAACGAACGGACACAACGACTAAAAACGTGAAAAATTACCCCCTTCTTGGATAAACCCAACGAAACGTTCGAAAAAATCAGAAAAATTCCACGAAAACATTTCAAGAGAAGTAAAATTTCACTGTCTGTCCATTTTGTGCGGTGGCAAGGTGTCACGATGCCAACAGTGGTGTGTGGACGATTGGCCAAACAACAGCGCACTCAACATCGCGATGAATTTTTGCGGCACTCGGCGAGAGTGTGGCTGCTGAAGTTCGGGCAGCTGCAGTTTTAGCTGCAGTTCCGAAGCTCGGAACCGAATGCAGATTAAGACGTCGGCCTCGAGATTAAGACCTAGGCCTCAGCTCAAACCCAGTCGCCAAATTAGGGCAAAATTTTGGTGGAGTTAAAATTGCGAACGAGTGAGAATTTTGTGCCAAGCCAT